GCAGTGGTGGTAGTGACTTCCAGGCGCATTGTAATCGGCGACTTCACCAGATGGGATTCGCAAAAAGTTGTGCGGAAGTTTCAAACCCACAAACGTCTTACGTGCCGTAATCTCTAGTCAAATGTTGACATTGTTTGATCGACCTACATTGTAATTAATTAAAGCCACCGTTGAACATGCACGCGCTATTATTGCTGTCTTTTCAAATAAGGTCGAATCTAACCAGGTAGATTCCAAAATGACCAAGTTAGGTGCACATACATTTACTGAAAGAGTCGGGCATTTTTAATGATTTAAGTGCGGTGAATCTGTTTTTCAATTTTTTTCCTGATCTCAAATAAGATTTATCAGTCTCAAGCTCGAAATGAAATGTACTTATGCCTTCATGACCACACTAATTGACTAGCCACATTGCGTCCAACAAATCAATTAATTTAGAAAACAGAGTTGCATAATTTGGAAAGAAAATTACGTGAACGGTGTTAAAGGCCTATGTTGAATAGAATTCAGTGAGTGAAATATTGAAATATAATCAGGAAATATGTATTCATATCTAACTATTGGTTTCTGATTATTAAATAATTGGACAGAATTGTTTACATTTTATTTAATTTCTCAGGTTCGTAGCGTGTTAACGGGTAGGTCACCGGTAGTGACACCTTTACTATTGCTGTGATTCATTACCTAGTGCTTTCGTGGTCTTTACATTGCAGATGTAGGCAACTAATTTGTAAGAAATGCAGCAACTTACATTGCAGTCTGTTTAAAAATACCGCTTTAATCATGCGGATTTGCTATATGTACTTCTCTACGGTCGTAGTTGCAGGATACAGACGACGCTTGACATTTTATGGCAAGGCAAAACGGTGTACCACCTGGCCTCCCTTCACCCCAAGAAACAGTCACCCACCGTCCCGAGTCTACCCCTGTGATTTCAACAAGTTCTGACGACACACAAGACCAGCAACCTTGTGACCACGCCAATGTGCTCCCCTCCGATAGTCCGAGTCGGGCTGCTGCCAATGTCACCAGTCCTCAAACAAGTGTACCGCAAAATGCAGGTTTGCGTCGTTTTGTTTAATTTAATAGCAATCGCCATTCTATGCACATGTAATTGGACCATTCTTTAAGCTATGACATAATTCGCTACACTAAAGTAAACGCAACCTGCACATACGTCTCCTTGTTCGATTTCAGTTAAAAGAGTCCAACAAGATTGCATTGAGCAGCCTTATTAGGACAAGTTAAAATTCTGCTTGTATGTAAATAATTGCTGCTACTGTGCATTTTGACAAATTTTCACTTTTCTTCTTCAATAATGCAATTGTACTTTACTTCCACAACTTTTTGTCTGCTTTCAGAAGAACCTATCTTTCATCTTACTGCCACAGCCTCTACTCAACTGCATCAAAATTCTCTTGGGTGGTACCTTAGATACATAAATGGTACGTTGGAGGTCTTGCGCCAAAAACTGCTACGGCTAACGTTGAGGTTGAGGGACACTTCAAATCCAGAACAAATTACTGCCATTTGTCGTGCCCTCGAAGCTTGTCTGAGAACTGACAATGCGCTTAGATCTGCACGTGAGACATTAGTCAGTAGCTAAAGAGCCCTATGAAGAAGTGGTGATGTTTTACCTGAATATTTCCTTCTTCCATAATTTTTATGCCTTTTTCACAAGCTTTTTATTGACAGCATTTGACATATGCAAATTTCCTCATAAATTTTTATTGCTTGTAATCTAAATGTATTTTATTTTTGCATTGGAAAATGGGATACTACCACAGATATCAACAATTTGGTTGTGTGGTGATTGAATATCAGGCCACAATTGCTATCATGCAACATAAATGTGAATCGACCGAGTGGTAGGGATGGACTGATTTAGGACAAAGTGAACACTCACGATAAATAGGATTGGATTCAAAAGATGGGTCAAAACGGTCTCGCTTCTTTCCACTTGTTTTCTTTAAGTTAGGACTCAAGTATTATGCACGAGCAGTAACGGAGAGAATCTCAGCCATAAATAGTTTAAAGTTTTGACAACAGATGTGAAAATTAATAACTGATTTCACTTATTTCTTTTTCTTTTCCACCTAATGTTTATTATTCTGACACTTAAAGGCTGTTCCACGTTTACGTCAGGTGATGTTAATTGCACCAAGTCATTATATATATATTCATGCAATAGTCGTGAGATTTCCTGAACCTCAGCAATAGCAAGCGTCTTTTCCTATACTGCGACATCCGGAGAAAAACCTATTTTTAGGCAATCTACTTAAATGCAGCAATGAGTAGTTCATTTATCAACAGCTATTATGAGAACCGTCACATGTTTTTTTCCATATTCACTTTCAGTCAACTTACCTAAAGGGTAGCTTTTTCATCTGTGACGCCCTCTCACAACTCCTTTGTTTTCTTCCTCCAACAGTATCATACTAGCAAGATACCTGCAAGTTGGGCCTTTTAGACTGTAGAAATAAATCCATTACTGAGAAAAATATGAGTAGGTTGTGAGACAGAATCCCTGTGTGGTTGAATAGCTGTATGACACTGGAAGTATTTCATGGACATCTTCTGTAGTGTCAATATGTATTAAACGCAACAAATCGCTTCAAATGGTTTTTCGTAATTAGATTATCAAATTTACATAGACCATCATGAAAACAATACAATCAGTAGTTATTTTTCGGACTGATTAGAAGAACTGATTGATCAGGTGATAGCTGGTGCTAAACCAGCACAAACAAGTTTAAAGAAATATTGTGTGGTCTTTTTTTCATAAGAGTGTGTCAGTGTGTGGTGTTTTGTTTTCTGCTTTCAGTCAAGGAGATTAAGGCAATCATGTTTTGTCATGACAATGCAAGATCTCGTCTTCATGTTCCATAAACAGTGGGACATTTTTGAAGCTTGGCTGAGGAGTAATTTTGTGTATTCTTCACATGTTGACGATCTCGTGTCATACTGAGTTGGATTTTGCAGACTGCTACACTGCAAAATGGGTGCAACCGCAGACCAGTTTAATGCTAATGGAACTTTCAACGTTTCATAGGTTCAGTAATCTGCTGATAACAGCACCTTGGGTGTGAAAATGACACAAATAGGAAGTTTGTTGTCAGAAATGTATTTACACTACGACTTCGGCAACCTTAAAATTAGGAGATGCAAATTTTGAACATCATTAAACAGCAGAACATGAAAAAGTTTTGTTGTCTGCTAGTGTTACGGTTGCCCGTAACAATAGAGAATACCACTCAAATAACGGTACCAGATCCCTTGCTGAGGCTAGAACCGACCTTCCCAGGCTAATACCAGAACAAGAACAGAGCTCGAGTAGAGAGCTTTATTCACGTGAGCCACGCGCTGAGAAGTCGTGAAATCGAAAGTAATTTGAAAGCTATCTCAAGCCAAGGTTGACCTTGACTTGATAAAAGCGTAACAAATAAAATGTTAATAAATTAATGTAAATAAAATCAGAAACCAATCTTGGGGAATCGTGGATCCCCAACAGGTAGACATTTACCTTGAAACCTAAATGTATGGTCGGCGAATCTTTTGGAATGAATACAATCTGATGGAGTAACGTCCAAACCGTCATATACCAGACTAGTTAATACTACTGTAAATAGACACAACCATACAAGCAGGGTCATTTAAAAACGGCTCAGATTCGGTCCTAAACAGTCCAAGACAAGCATCTCACAAAAACGGATGAGAGCACGACTTAGTGGGTTCAAACAAGTGCAACACCTTTAAAAATGTCGATAAACACAGACAGTAAAATATTTTTGAACTTTGATAGGTGGTTATAAATTTTATGAATAACTTTGACTGCATGAACTTCCATCTTAGGTGTATTCGTCAAGGCCCAACCAAACTGACAGCACCTTCAAAAAATTCATGATCTATCTGTGTTAATGGGGTTTCCTAACAAGCCCATAAACCTCAATTATTCACGTTAAAGCCATGAACCGATTTACTTGAAAGGGGCTTGTCTTCTTATCTACATGGTTTTGATAGTAATGTTAACCAGAATTATAGCATAGTCGCCGAATTCATTGGGAGAAAATTTGGCGATTGAATGCTTTTAATAACCCCGAGCACCCCCATATAATGCCATGTCTCTGTTAATGCAAGTACAACATTACTACCTTCTTCATATCATGATTCTTTCAAGTTTGGACATTAAATTTTCGATTAACATGTTCAAGAATTATGAATATCCTACAATTGTCTGTCGTGTTCGAAAAAAAATACCGTCGTGATACTTGTACTGCTATTATTGTTTCGATAAGTGACTAACATGCGCTAACTGCTGAATCGAAGGGGACTTAAGCATACACATTAACTAATGGTGCTATTCAATCACATCATGTTTAATATAACCAGACCGACAAAATACTGACGTCATATAGTGCAGTAAACATGCTTTATCTACTACGTAATTTGTCAAAGTTAACAGTCTTTTCCCTCATTCAATTTGTCTGATTCAACAAGAATTAAACGGATTGTTTTCAAAATATATTACTATAATGACAATGCATTTGAGCATTTTGAATATATCTGAGTTCACAAAAACATTAACTAAAAATGAGTGTGTACCATTGCACACACTTTGAAGTATTGAGTTAACTTATCACGCGTGCAGAAAACTGAACCGAAGGACCAACTGCGACTGAATTGGAGTCAGTGTAAAAGGGCTGAACAGTGGTCAATTAGAAATACCAGTGTTCATTTTTTTTGAATTTTAAGACGCTTGAGTTAGGAATCCATTCGAATACAATATTTCCATTGTGTCAACGGGTAAGTTAATGATAGTTGTACTTTCAGAACTAGTGGGAATTTATAAGTGTTGGTATTTCGGTTCCTGAAATCAGTAGATTTTGTTAATTCATATTGAAATCTTCATGGATATGGAAAAAATTGCAGATATCAACTAATTTTATGAATTTCATTTCCATTGTAGCAGACACCACAACTGGAACTCTATGAAGACTTAGATGGAGGAGGAAGATGATGATAACTTAGTCTCCCCTTTGGAAGGTCATTCGACCAGGCAACGCCATCGGACTTCTTCATCTGGTTCGAATAGGTCTTATGATCAGCCTAGCCATATCCAACTTGGGAACACAACTGATATCAATACTAGTGGCCCTAGTGTCACTGATCCTGCTAATTACCCATCCACAAGTTACCCACAAATCTCAGGTACGTCCTCTTTGATAAAGTTGCTAGCATATCAACATCCCACCCTGCAATGTTCAAGTGCCAAATTTTGTCTTTTATGACTTGGCTATAACAATTCACTCTAAAACGAATCAACGCGAAAGCACTCACCTCACATTGTGGTTAATCGCATATAGATGATGCATTTCACAAATTGTACGTCTGAAAATCCTGTTTTGGGTTTGAACATGTACGATGTATAAAAAAAATTAATAGCCAACTCATTGGAATGCGGAATGCTTATTTCTCTGCATGAATTCGACAAAACAAATCAGTTAATCAGTAGTCTCTAATTAAAACCTTTAAATCATAACTTTCTATTCAAAGAATCCGTGCCTCTTCCACCGCCTCATCAAAATGCAAGTCATCTTCCGCCTGACATTAAACGCAGAATTGATGAAATTATATCAGCAGCCATGAGAGGGACCAATGTTACCGAAGCCTTGGCAAGTGTTCTTACTGAACGCTTCGGGTTAACCGACCTCTCATCTGGAATACCACTTGTTGGCGGCCAAGAATCACCCTGCCACACTATTACACCAACGTCTAGCTCTTCTTCTAGGCCTCTTCACATGTAAGAAGGTTTCCTATTTAGCACTCCAATTTAGTCGTAAGTAGTAACCAGATGCCTTGATGCAGAGTGAAAATAGATGACAAGTAAATCAACGACGGCTATGTACAACTTAATTTAAATCTTAATTTTGGTCTCAAAATGGTAGAGTTACATCAAAACGTCATTACTCTGTTTGATGAAATCAAAACTTGATTATGAAAACTTACCTCATTACTATTTTGCTGCTTGGCAGAGTTGTACTTATGGTAAGATTATAAAAGTGATTTCCATCAACTGCGCGTATTTTAAGTCAATTTCGAAGTGCAGGTACTCTACTGAAATGAAAACATCAATACAGCTTCCGCCGTATGTACTTTACTTTTGGTGTCTGGTGATGCTTCACGGAATTCACTTATATCAGGTAGAAATGTGTACTGAACTTTTTTTGAAGACCTATTTAAAATTTATTAATTTATAATCTAAATTGAAAATCAATGTTTGATATGAAGCATAGAATTTGTTGATTTTAATCAACAGTTCCGACTCACTCGAAAATGTCTCTACTAATTGCTAGGTCAAATGTATCCAGCGAAAACGACCGGCCCATCTCTCGGACCACACGAATGGCCAGTCCTACAAGAACTTCCTCCTTTCCACCTAGTCAAATTCTTGACCAGTACGAAAATATTCCACCTGATGTTGTTGCAGGTAAGTGTTAATTCTATGCTCATCTTGTCTGAACTCACTTTTCTGTGAGCAACCCAATGCAGCTTTTCCTTAAAAACAGGTCATTTTGTATACTTAAAATGACCCTTACACCAAAGTCAGTCAAGGTTTTTTTTTAAACCCGTTAAGAAAAGTCAGAAATTTTAAAACGAAAAAATATTTTTTAACCGATTTCTGTCTAATACAAGTGATAGTCGGGAAAACTGCAAAAATGTGTTTATCAATGCGAACACGATTGTTGTTGGCAAATCTAAATTTACATCAATTTGTTGTGCAAAGGCTTCAGTAGAAGCCCTTATATTGATGGCAAACTTTCCCATTTTGCAAGCTAGATGGCTAAAAAGGTGTGGACGTTTAATAAATTATCAAAGCATCAATTATGCAGGCTTAACTCACTAAGATATCACATTTTCATTACATACTGCATCACCACGTAAGTCGTCACCAAAAACTTTTCATTGGCGTACGTCTTAATAACATTTGTTAAAAATCAGAGAATATAAGTCTAAGTAAATGGGCATTATTACTGTACAGGTCTTATGGCAATATTTCACAACACGGCTTTCTGTCTAGGGGTACACTTCGCCTCCACCTCCACTGTCACTGATTCAAATCAAGATCTGACTCCTGAAAGCCTCCTTCGTAATTTGAATGATTTGGAGCATCGCCTGGAAGAAGTTATTCAAGTGTTAATGTTAAACGTTGGTGCTAACGCAGAGAGTGATTATATGGCTGCCATCCGTCATGTGATAAGAACCTGTCAGATCGATATCTACATTCTGAGACGCATGCTCCAGAACATTTGAAGTTGCGCTATACGCCACCCATCACAGCCATTTCTATGTGTTGCTGCTTCCTAATACAAGTAAATAAGATTGAAGCCTAAACGTTTGAAGTCGTAATGGGGACGAGTGAATGACGATTGTAACTCCAACGATTTCTGTAAATTGTGTCATGCCCAGAGCAGATACAGTTGCATCTAGTTTAGTAACCTAATATGGTGCCGACACATTGGACCATGCCAATTCTCCGTCTCTGTGCATTTGAATGACCTGCAAGTAACATCTTTTGAGGTCTCCGGCGTGTTGCCTTGAATCAAACATGGGCCACTGATTCGAGTCTGGCTCGGTGTACGCGAACATGAAGAAGACCGGAGAGGACGAATCATAACCGTTAACTAGACAGCTCCACCTAGTTATGTTACGTTGACTGATACAGTTAAGTGGACTAGTAAATGTGTAGGCGTCAGAAAGGTCACTTGAATAAAGTAAGTGTTGGTGATGGTACATGCAGAGGCGAAAAACCAGGCGGTCTCAGTGATTGACGGGCACGATTCACTACTCATCTTAAGTCAACCAAAGACTCGGATTCATGCAAAGTAGTCAGCGTTGTGTACTCAAATAAATGACGTCCAAATTACGGTTGTGGCTTGCGATTGGTGTATAAAGGCTGTTCTGTTGAACCATTCTCCTTCAAATTAGGGCTCGCGTGTTCTACACTACCAGATTCCATATGCGAATATCCGGTTAAATCTGTCACTATTTAAACGATTAGCAATCAACCTCACGATTTTTTTTTAAATTAAAATTTGTGCACACCTTCATTTTATTAATTGAGATTTAAACATTTTCGTGTTATGCATCACAAGTATTTGTGCGCGTTATTCCGGTCTTTACATCAGCTGGATGAGCACGTGTGTTTATTACCATGTGCAATTAAAAACCTTCCTAGGTCTCAACTTTATCCCAAAAGCCACAGGCGACACGCCGAAAAGAAATGGAGCGATCATTAGTGAAAGCTGCGTCTGTCGTGTCTGGTCTTCATATTTGTGAATATGGGGTTGCAGGAACTCTAAACAGTAACCAGTCAGACAAGGACGAGCATTAGCTATTGATTGAACGTTTTTTTCGTTACGATGTCTTTTGCACTGAACGTGGTTAAACTAGATGAGACTAGGCAAATAACTAAGTATTAAATGACTTCAAACTGTCTAATGCCATTGAAATCTGCTTGATGACATCAGGCTTTGTAGTCAAGTTTAAAACAGTGTCCATAACGTCACTGAGACCTTCTTGATAGCCTGATTTATCCACATTTGCCTAAAAAGTGCAAAAACGCTGTGGACGTTTGCAGCTTCACTGACATCATCACAACAACACAACAAAATGCGCGTGCGTGCGGAATCTTCCATGGAATTAAGATGCTATCGTCCAAGGAATCACTCCATTAACTCTGTCCATTGCAAAAACATTATTTAATATGTAACTAGTCTACGTGAAAAGGTAAACGAGAGTTAAACAAATTCTAAATACTCTTCTGTAATATTTGTCCTCAAATTAGCTTAAATCAATACAAATAATACGTAACAAAACACTAGGAAATAAGAAGTGTTGAAACTGACTTAGATACCACCTTGTGTAGTCTTGGCAATTTAGATGTTGCGGCATTTCTTCCAAAACAATTTGTATATGCATGCGGTTAAGTGGTCTGATAGTGACTTTGTGGAACACACATTTTGTAGAATTCGTCTATTTGTATAACACTGACATTAAGTGGAGCACTTAGTGTTTTGAAATACAAAGGCAGCTTTTCACTATTTTCATTACACACCGATATCTAATGATGCTTTCTAGCAATCGACTGACAAAAGAAGTGCAAATCCACGACGCTTTTCAGATGGATTACTTTTGCGCCGTTTAAAATGTGTTATCTTGAAGTGCACATAAACATGTATTTTCGCGATAGGCGGACCGTGACACAATCAGCGTGAATTAATGGACGAATACTCATAAAAATAATTTAGCATACACTACCAGATGCAAATGTTGAATTGCACACAGTGCTAGATTTAATAAGAGTTCAATTCTTTCCCTCGTATTCTTTTGTGTACGTTAGCGAGCATATACCTGGTCGTCAGGCATCAAATCTTTGTTTTCACTATTATAAAAAGGGACAAATTTGCAATTGTTTATGACAGTGTGGTTTAATGCATAACTGAAGACGTTTGGTCGGTAAGAGTAGTGTATAGTGCATCTTCAAAGTTCAAGGCAGGAAGTCAGTCAGAATCTGAAATAGACTGGCATAAGTAGCCTTGGATTCTTCAACTTATAAATTGGACATTTCCCTCAAATTTAAACAATTGCATCCATGTTTCGGTGGAAAACATCATTTTCTTGTGCTGAATGGGTCCACATTGTTGAAATAGTAATAAGTAAATCTTCTAAGACCTGATTGACAGTTCCTTTGCTTCATTGAAAGGTTTGGGTAAGGCGTAGTTGTCATGCTAGTCTGCGCAGACAGCATTATCAGTCCCAGATATTGAAAGGAAGTCTAGGAACTAAATTTAAACCTTCAAATTTAGACTACGATAAGCATACGTCGTGAATTCTGAACATGGTTGTGTCACTGCACATTAATGGCTGTCCTTATAACCCCAACACTGTTACTACTATGTGATAACTCTGAATGTGTAAGGCAATTTTATGGTTGCGTCATTTAATCGGTCTGCATTTCAGTGACTCCAAACGATTGTCCACCTGCTGTTTACGACTCACAGCATCCAGCCTAAAGAGAGCTTTGGAGGTGCGCGTTTGACCTGTTAAGGAAGCACGTGTGTGAGTGTCCCATCATCGATTGTCACAAGCGACACGCTGGCACCATCTGCTCGTGTTTTAAGTCAATGATTTGAATACTGCGTGTTGTAGACCAACGTTGCCCCACGTTGGCACTTAGGGTGTAAATGTATCACTGCAAACCACAGCACATCCATTGTACCCCAGTGACTCTTTAAAACACTAAGTTGATGTTTCTTTAAATAATTAACACTGAGGAGAAAAAAATTGACTATTTAAAAATCAAGCAGATGCAGACTAAAGAAAAATTAACGTTCATCTCATCTGGCGCTATTGTGTTGTGTGAACTTGCTTTTATCATTTAGCCTTTGCCTGTCCGACGCATTACAACTTAAACATAACTTGCACTTCCACAGTATACCAGTGGTTGCAACTACATTTCAGCGAGTGGTGCCATTTGATAGTATATTAAATGGTTCGGACAGTGGTGCTTTTTATCCCAAGTAATCGTTGCAGCAACATTCCAACGAATAGTGTAATCTGATGGCATTTTATATAAGAGCCGAATCACTATTCCAACGATACAGCGCGATAATTTTGACATAAAATCGCCATAAAATACAAGGTTTTGGGTGTTTTATGATCTCTGACTTTAGACAATGCGCCCAGTTACTGACTCTGTTTTTGCAAACGAAATTTGATACCTGTACTACAGTGAAGATCGTCGTGTCATGTACACATAAATGTGCTCCGTATAACCAACTAAAACGTCTTGAGCTTTTAAGGAAGAGAAGCTTGATGGTTGCGGTAAATGTGAGAATCTTAGAGACAAGTAGAAGTGCTTCATTTATGATATTTGCGTTATCACAAAAGACTTTCTCGTGATACGCACATTTCCTCCGTAATTTGTTCAAACTACTCTTTGACATTTTATGCCCACACTGTCATGTTATTTGCAACGGCTGTTGGATAGGTTGTATGCACAAAATGTTGCTTAGATAAAAATACAATCAAATGTGCAAAAGGGTGAAGTATAAAGCGCCATCTTCTCTCAAAGTGGGATTAGAGCTGCCAGAACGATTGATGAATTCAGACACCTGATTAACCAGAATGGACATATACGAGCAACCTTTAGTAAATACATCCTTGACAACACCATTTTTCAGCTGACAGCTCTTTATTATCCTTATCGAACCCACACAATTTTCTAAAAAATCGGTAAAAAGTAAGTCGTACGCCTGAAAAATGACGATTAAGGAGACCTAGATGGGCATCATAACTGCAAAGGTTCTGACAGAAGCAAATAAAAATCTACGACAAAACGAATTGCTCATAAGGCTAGTTATAATGAAAGTCCACGTTTCTAAATTACAAAGGCAAAAAAGCGAGTACGTGTCTGCATCAGAACGAGCTGTTCGGTGGCCTGGGAGCAATGCGTGGGCGCATGGAGCAACAAAAGGAGTCCTCGGTGTTCTGCCAAATGCATGGGTTTATTACTTCAAGCACATTTTCCAGCTGAAGAAACTTAGGTCAAAAACATCAAAACACCGCATTAGAAAGTCCAAAGTCCACTGTAATATCTGCCGCCAGACATGCGATTTAATGGGAATACCTCCAGTGCTTGCAGTCTATCTGTAAAATGATTGGTTGAGCTTGCAGGGGCCTTGGAATCACACCGAGACTTCCCAGGGAAAAACAGGAAGACCACAGGCGACGGAAATACAGGTGCGCATTAGAGAGGAGGGCTCAACTTAGTCTCGGTGCTGCGCCTGTATGCCCAAACCTAATTAGCTTACTTTTTGGCAATGCTTTTTGGAACTTGAACGCTCGAGTCTTTTCAAAACTATTGGGTGTATTAGGAATTTGAATTAGAGTAGTTTCGGGTTTTTTGATCTATGTAAACTTGTTTAAATAATGGATAACACAAAGAGCGAAATCAAAACTACCCCTAATTATTTCTTAATTTAGTTGAATCAGCATTTAGAACCCATAATCCACCACTTATTTTTCGAAAAACCCAACAAGTTCTCTCGTCCTATAACCGTGTATATTTACCTTATCAATTTTGCATTAATTCTTGCACTACTCGTACACTTATGGATCATACATGTTTTGCTCATTGGCGATGCTTATCAGACAATATCTCCAAAATCGCACCTGAAAAATTCCTAAGTAAAATTTAGTCCGATCACTAACCAATTGTGCCCCCTTTTATTCAGCAGGCTGAAAACAGA